CCGCCGCGGCCGCGCGCCCGCGGCGCGTCCCGCAGGACGTCGGCGGGGCCCCGGCGCTGGCGCCGCTCGCGCCTCAACGGGCTGGCGGCGCAGCGCGCACGCGCGGCGCGGGACTCGCTGTCGCTGAGCAGCGGCTCAGGAGGGGGCTCGGCTTCGGCCTCCGACGACGACGCGGACGACGCGGACGGGGCGCTGGCGGCCGAGAGCACGCCTTTCCTCGGCCTGCGCGCGGCGCACGACGCGCTGCGCTCGGACTCGCCGCCGCTGTGCCCGGCGGCCGACAGCAGGACTTACTACTCCCTGGACAGCCACAGCACGCGGGCCAGCAGCAGACACAGCCGCGGGCCGCCCCCGCGGGCCACGCAGGACTCGGCGCCGCTCTAGGGGCCCCGGCGCCCCGCCTCTCGCCCGCCCGCCCCACTGTCTTTCGGGAGAACAGAGACCACCGACTGGAGAGAGAAAGGAGGGAAAAAAGAAATAAAAATATTTTTATTTTCTATAAAAGGAAAGGTATAACAAAATGTTTTATTTTCATTTTAGCAAAAATTGTCTTATAATATTAGCTAACGGCAAAGACGTTTTTATAGGGAAACTATTTATATGTAACATCCTGATTTACAGCTTCGGGAAAAAAAAAGAAACAACAAAAAAAAAAGAGAGATGGGCCAATTTTTTGACTCTTTAATAGAAACCTATATTGTGGTGCCTTTTGCTGTACGCTAATCTGGAGCTCCTGGAGAGAAGTCTGGGTTGCGGGGTGGGGGTGAGGGGAGGGCAGGATCCTGAGCTGGCGGGGTGAGAGGAAGCCGGGAAAGAAGAGGCTCCCGGGGTCTGAGGGGGGCGGGGGACGGGGGGCAGGGTGAGGGATTGGCCCTGGGGAGGAAAGGAGGACTGGAGTAGCTTTGTCCCCGTGCAAGATCTTGAGTCCTGGGCCCCCTGAGGAGAGGGCGGGGATCCTAGGCTTGGAGCTAGAGTTGGGGTCAGGTAACGTCCAGGGGGAGACTAAGGCCCAGCGACAGCAACCAGAATGGGGAGGGGGCCTCCCCGCTCCTCACAGCTGCTAAGGGAGGGGCACTGAGAAAGAGGTCTTCCCGACAGTCCCGGCCCCAGGGAGGGGGCAGCTCTGCCAGGGCCCCAATGTTCGCGGCTCCTCCTCCCCCATGGCCTCCAGGACGCCCCTCCGTCCTCTGCAGCACCTTCGTTTACAGGTCGTCTTTTCTATTTTCCGCCTGCATGTCCTTTGCATTTCAGATTCTTTAGATTGGATGCATGGTCACGCTGGGACCGAGAAGAGCCACTGGACAGTGTATTTGATTCCCCTTTTAGCAATAAAGTAAACACCATTTCCTTCTCACAGCTGGACTCCCAGCCCCCAACTCACCTATGACTTCCACTCCCTCTCCAGCCCTGTCTTCCCCACCCTCCAAAACTGGGTCCACTGCTAATTTGTCAAAAAGGTAATTGTTTAAGAAAAAAATCCCAAACAAGTAAATGGGAACCCTGCCCTGAAATGTCCAAACACCTGACTGTTGACACTTGAACATTTTTATATTATAAATAAAATCAGAAATAACTCATGTTTGACTCTGTGTGCCTAGCCTTCAGGTGAGGAGTGAAGACAGAGGATGAGGACCTGGGGTGGAGATGGATGGCTGTTAGTGTGGAGGTTGGAGAGAGCCAGGGCAGTCCCTGTGAGGAAGAGACCCTCCCTCCAATCTCCCTGGCTCCAGCTCCCAGGACAGGCTCCAACCCTCCTCTCTCTTCCAAGAACATTCACAAAGTGTTCCCCACTGGCTGCTGGGGAACCTGGCCAAGGGGCTGACGCAAATTACTCTGCTTCGTGCTCAGCCTCAGAACCCTGGCCCACTTCCTGCCCTGGAGCTACAGGGGCCGGACTGAGGCAACAGTTTCCGGACCTAGGTGGGTGAGGAGGCAAGGGTTGTGGGATTGGCACTGTGGCAGCTGAGGCAAGATGACCCTTGGGGCCTCAGACATGTCACAGGCAAAGTCTGGACATGCAAGGTGGCATAATGGGTACCCTCAGCTGCCAGGAGGACCACAGCTGCTGCAGCTTGTAAGCCCACAGGGTGTTGCACTTTTCCCAGCTTTATACCCCCTCGGAGCCGGGACCTGTCTAAACTCGCAGTCCCCCGAATACATGATTTTAGGCATGGAGAAGGCAGATGGAGGTCCAGGGTTAAGCAGCCTTGCTTTTCATTGATTAACTTATTAAACCAGTGCCCAGCACCAGGAACCATTAGGTTCCAGTCAGACGTGAGGAAATCTTTTACCCAGCCAGCTCAGGTGGTTGATGTGTGTGTGCATGTGCACGAATGCCCCCAAGATGTGTGTCATCAGTTGGGAGACCTACAGGTGGGAGGGACAGTGAGGCTTAGGGATGAGAGGGCTTAGGTATTAACAGGCCTGAGTTCAAATTCCAGCTCAGGCCCTCACCAGCTGTGTGACTTCTCTAGGCTGCAGTTTCCTGGGCTGTGAAATGGTGATGCTAATACCTACCTCAGAAGGTTGCTGCAGAGATCATGCGTAAGGCACCCAGTATTGCTTCTGGCACATGATAGATGCCTATTGACTAATTTGATGGTGGTAATGATGATATCCTGTGCCTTGCATACTTGAATCACATAAAGAATGGCAAAAATTAGTTAAAAGGGAGGTGATGGAGAAAAGTAAAGAAAGAACTAAAATTGTATTCATTGTGGGGCACTGGGGAAAAGTACCTGTTACAAAGAAACAAAGCAAAATAATGAACTAAATGCGACATAAACCTGCAAATCACTGACCTCTCCCAGCCCCCATCTAATGATCTCATCCAGAACCCTCTACTGACTCTGAGTTAGCTATTAGCTTTAAAATTTTCTGAGCCAGGACTTCCTTGATATGACTTCTGACCTCTATATGACCCTAATTATTTCTGAATGACCTCTTGATGAACCCCCTGGCCTTTTCACGACCCCAGGTAATTCTGAATGACCTCTTGGTGAAACCATTGACCTTTTCATGACCCAACTTAGTGTCCTCATTTGACCTTTCTGAGGGCGCTGAGTTGTTACCTTCTAAATTTTCAGTTAGAAACCACCTCCATGACTCCAGTGAACCCACTGACCTCTGTGTGACCAAAGTAATTCTGAATGACCTCTTGGTGAACCCATTGACACTTTCATGACCCAGCTTAGTATCCTCATTTGACCCTTCTGAGGGCCCTGAGTTCTTACCTTCTAAACTTTCAGTCAGAAACCACCGCTATGACCCTGATGAACCCACCAACCTGTATGTGACCCCAAGTAATTCTGAATAAACTCTCGTGAACTCATTGACCTTCACATGACCCCATTGGGTACTTTCCTTATCCGCTCTGAATTCTAAGATACCTGCTGAGAGTCTAAAGCCAGAACCTAATTTAGTTCCTTGACTCTCCTCATCATATCAGCCACTCATTCATTTCAGGTGTGAATGGGACCTGGGCACAGGTGTAGTCAGAGAGCTCCCGCCTCCACTCTGCTTCTCAAATGTCTGCCTTGGGGCATCTTTAGTATGGCCTGTCAGGAAGATGTATAGCCTTCTTATGAGACTTCCCTACTACCACTCTGTTCCCCAGGAGCACTTAGGACATTCAGGCAGCTTCCTGAATCAGAGTCTTCTTCCCCACTCCTCCAATTCTTTCTTTTTCTCTCTGCTGGGTCATTTTTGGCTTGTCTCTCCAGCCCTCCCAGAGTCCCAAATGGTAATGGTGACTGCCTGTCCCCCTCCCCACTAGACTGTGAGCCCCATGTGGACAGGGAGCTGCTCAATCCTTTTCTCACCACAGTATCCCCAGCACCCAGCACAATGTGCAGCACTGCTGACCTTCATTGAATCAGATGATGGAAGGCTTAAGAGACTCTGTCATTAAGGGTCAGCCCCCAGAAGTCCATGAGTCTGCGGCCACTCCCCAGGACCACCAGGTGGCGCAAACCACTTGTTGCATCTCATGTGCAGCCCTCCAGCCCCTGGATTTGGACAGTCCAGGAAAATGGGCATTTTAGGGGCAGAGGTTGTGAAGAGAACATCATGGTCCATTAGAATGCAGGAAAAAAATTTTAGAACTTTGATTTAGATTTATTTTCATCTCACCTTTTTTAAATTTCTATTTTTGTGGATGTTTTATAATGTACATAATATTTTAGTACAGTAGTACATGTATATAATTTACAATAAATAATTACACAATTAAGAAAGTGAACTAAAAATTTTTTTACTGATGGGAGGCACAACTAGTGCTCAGGGAAGCACATCTGTCTGCAGGGGATGGCGCTTGCTCCTCTGCTTTCACTCACTGGCCCTCATGAGATGGAGGGTGGGAAGCTGACCCCCAAAATCAAAGGACCTTTCAGAAAGCATGGAGGAAGTACAGGGAGCTGTTTTATGTTGCCACATTGCTCTTTCAATTTCATTTAAATGAACATTTACTTCCCCTCAGCAAAACGAAGGGGCCAGATGGTTTGGTTATAAAATACACTTCAGCTGATCCAAATTAAATAATCTGGATTTAAATTACTACATCTCTCCACAGACTGACACGTCCCTTGCATCAAATATGAGTGGGCTTGTAAATATTGGGTACTTAGTTGCAAGGTTGGCTTATCTTATTAATAAATATGTTACCACTGAGGTCAAATTGCTGGCCAAACTACAGTAATCTATTTTAAAAATAGAAAGGATTTGCTCATGATAGCTGCATTGAGGGTGCCATCACCCCCACCATTATCAGTCTGAGGAATATAGGGTTGAAAGGATGCTAGTCTGTGATCATCACATGGTGAATTTCTCTGTTCTTCCCAGACGTGTCCTAAGCTAGCATTTCTGAGTCACTAGAAGAGTGAAAGAAATATCAACCTAAAAAACAATCAGCAACTTGTCATTACACCTTTTCCCAAGACCAAGAATTAATGGCTTCCATAACCTTCCCCCACCAAACATCTTTGGGCTTGTTGACAAGTGGCTATTTGCAAAGCAGAGTGTCTTTTATTCCTGTAGCAGTAGATCTGTACAAGAGGCCACCCCTGGAGTTCAGAGACCTGGCAGCACCAACATAAAGACCGATGTATAAACAGAGCCATGGTCCCATCTCACTCACACCCAGGATGCCTGTGGAACAGATGGAGTGGCACACATACGCACTATTTATTCCAAAACATCAACTGTAAGAGAAGTGTAAGTCACAGGTCAGCCGGAAGAGAGAAGAAATGGGGTGAGAGGAGGTCAGCACTATCTCCACCTTCCCTCCCAGTGTGTCAGGGTGCCAGATAGCAGCCCTCCTCACTAACAGGTGGAGTTCTGAAATAGGTTTTTCCTTCATCTTATTTCATCCTCTAACTGATATCAGTTCCAAACCATCTTTAAAGAGGTTCCTTGTTTATATATAATTCTTATATATATACATTTATGTCCGTATAAAAGAAAGCAATAGTGGCCTTAATGGATGGAAGGTGAGGTGGACGCACAAGTGAGTGGAGACAGCTTGGCAGTGAGGGCGCAGGCCCAGGTCCTGGATTATTGCGATGTGAGGCAGGAGAACGGGATGTGGTTCCAGAGGCTGCTGGGTGGAGGGAGGAGAGGATGGTGCTGGTGGTCTGCAGACCTGCTGCTGGTCAACTCAGAGGAAGGAGGAGAAGAAAGGGTGGGGGTCCAAGCTGAGACCTGGAGTCAAGACCTGCCCTCAGCAACAAGGGAGATGAGGGGAGGAATGTGTGAGAACAAGAGGGCTTAGGAAGCCAACCACTCTTCCTACTTCTCCAGTGAGATGGCATCTAGAGCATGCACACAGCTGGCCTGCAAAATGAGGCTCCATGCTGGAGAGGGATGTGAGGGCTACGGAGAGGGTCTGAGGCCCAGAGAAGCCCCAGGATGCAAGAAGACAAATGCCATGAATAGCATCTCCATCTCCTTGGCCTACAGGGATCTCTGCACCCTTCTGGCTGCCCATCAACTGCCTGGAGCTGGTCCAAGTGGCCCCTGGCTGGAATTGTGCTCACTGACCCCTCTGGGGGCATTTGTCTGCCTCAGGGCCTGCCCATCTACACCAGCTAAGTATCAGGCCCAGTGGTATCCTTCGTGGCTTTGCTGCCAGTCACAGTTCCATGGCCCTGGCTGAGGGCAGGGCTTGAGTGTGTCTTCCGGAGAGAAGGGTCATCCCCTTCCAGGGTAGCCAGCCGGGCCTCAATTCGTTCCAGGTCATCTGAGCCCACTTTGATTTTCACAGCCAGGAGGTGGATATAGGTCTCATAACGGCTTTTCTGGAAAAAGGACAAAGGCCAAAAACAAAGTCAAAAAATAAACAACAAAATGAGAAAAAATATTTATATCTAATATGGCAAAAGACTAATTTCCTTAATATTTAGAGAGCTCCCACGAATCAATAAGAAGGAGATAATTAAATTTTTTAAAAGGCATTTTTTTTTAAAAAAAAAAAGGAAATTTCACTCATAATCTTAAAAATAAAAATTAATTGACAATGAATTCTTAGATATGACACCAAAAGCACAGATAACACAAGTGAAAATAGACAAATGAAACTATATCAAAGATTTTAAATTCTGTGTATCAAAGGACACAATTGATAGAGTAAAAAGTCCATGTATATAGAATGGGAGAAACTATTTGCAAATCATGTATCTCATAAGGGTCTAGTAACCAAATTGTATAAAAAAACCTCCTAAAACTCAACAACAAAAACACAAACAAACCAATTAAAAAATAGGCAAAGGACTTGAATAGACATTTCTCCAAAGAAGATATACAAATGGCCAATAAGCACATGAAAAGATGTTCAACATCACTAATCATTAGGGAAATGCAGATCAAAAGCACAATGAGATACCACCTCACACCAGTCAGGATGGCTACTATCAGAAAGTAACAAGTGTTGCTGAGAATATAGAGAAATTGGAGCACTTGTGCACTGCTGGTGGGAATGTAAAATGATACAGCTGCTGTGAAAAACAGTACAGCTATTCCTCAAAAAGTGAAAAATAACATTACCACATGATCCAGCAATACCACTTCCGGTTATACATCCAAAAGAATTGAAAGCAGGGTTTCGAAGAGATGTTTGCACACCCATATTCACAGCAGCATTCTCAGAATAGCCAAAAGGTGGAAGCAACCCAAATATTCAACAGCAGACGAATAGATAAACACAATGTGGTATTTGCATACAATAGGATATTATTCAGCCTTAAAAAAGAAGGAAATTCTGACACATGCTACAACATGGATGAACCTTGAGCACATTATACTAAGTGACATAAGCCAGTCATAAAAACACAAATTCTGTTTCTAGTTATATGAAGTTTCTACTTATGTGATTCTACTTATATGAAGTACGTAGAGCAGTCAAATTGATAAAGACAGAAAGTGGAATTGTGGTTGCCAGGGCCTAAGGTGTAGAGGGCGTGTTGCGAGTTTTTGTTTAATGGGTATAGAGTTTCAGTTTCAGAAGATGAAAAAGTTTTGGAGATTGGTTGTACAACAATGTGAATAGACTTAACCCTACTTAACTATACACTTAAAAATGGTTAAGGTGATAAATGTTACGTTATACAATTAAAAAATTTTTTAAATCCACATTAAAATAGCAACGAGACATCCCTCGTTAAACCTATCAGATTGGTGAAGATTAAAACATCTGGTAATGTCCAGTGTTGGTGAGGGCGTGGAGAGAGAGGTACATTCATAAACTATTAAAGGGATTGTAAATTGGTAAACATTTAGGAGGGAGATTTGGTAGTGTCTAAGGGCCTTGACTCAGCTTCAGGCCCTCACCACAGTCCAGGGAGGCTGGGGTCCTGGATGAAGCTGGGACTAAGGATCAGGAGACCCTGTTCTCGCCCAGCTCTGCCACATGAGCAGAAAGACCCTTTAGTGCTGAGCTTCACCCCCGCCCACACCCTGTTAAGCCAGGGAATAAGAAAGACCAGGGCACTGGAGCTACAATCATCGCCTGGGTTAGGATCCTGGCTCCTGTACTTCTGACCTCTCCAAGCCTCAGCTTCCCCATCTGTAAAATGAGGATAATAACAAAACCCATTTCACAGAGTTGATACGAGGATTAAATCAGTCAATACAAAGGAACTTCATGAAGAGAATCACACGTGGTAATTAGTGAAAGATTAGTCCTCTGTAGCTTTTGCCATCACTATTTTTATGTTGCAGAGAGAGTGGATCTGAGAAGACTTCAGAAAGCTACAAAGCTTTATGTTTTTCAAAAGGTCAGGATCCACCCTGGAGCTCTCCTCTCTCCCCCACACCTCCACAGAAAATCAATGTGGAAATCCAGAGACTGAGATTGGTGACTTCTGCCCTTCCTGCTCTGGGGGCTTCCTGGCTCCGTCTCAGTCTCTCTGTCTGTCTGTCCACCCCCAGGTGCAGTCAGTCCAAAAAGGACAAGTGGTTCCTACCTTCCTCCCTAAAGCCGACCCCCTATCCTTTACTCAACGAAGGCAATGCTCTAGCAGCCCCATTTGCAGAGCATGGTGAGGTAGAATCAGGGTAGTGGGCAGGGAGAGATAAGATGGAAAGTAGGGAGAGTAGAAGGAGAGCTAAACTGCTCTGCTTGATAAACATATGTGAAAGAGGAAAATAGACAAAAAGTGGGAAAGTCACATGGATAGAGCTTGACAGTTTGGTTGTAAAAACTTTCCGAGAAGCCAGGTCTGTCGGGGAAGTGGAGGTAAGGAAGGGGTTGGTGGAGGGTGGAGAGAGGTGGCAGGGGTTTCTGGTGGAGCCTGTCAGGTGCTCTTTGAGGGCACAATTGTTTGATGAACAATTGGCAGCTAAACTATTCAGAGACTGGCCCACAGGAGGCCATGCATGATTCATAATTGCCTCAGGGAAGCACCCAAAGGGGAACCCCCAAGCTAGGAGCCCCTGGCTGTGGAATGGTGTTGGCAGTGGGAGGTGGATGGCAGGAGCTGGCCTCCTCCTCGTGCCCCAGTCCTGTCCTTTGCAATCCATCCCACGGAGGGCCCACCTCAAAAGTGAGATAGTGTTCCTTCAGCCGGTTCTCCTCAGCCTCCTTGGACTTGCTGCCCCTCTCGACTGGGTGACACCGGTGCTCAGCCAGCTCTGCAGTCACCTGCCTCAACTTATTCTCATGAGAACGCAGCTGCTCCTCCTGCAAAGACAAGTCCTGGACTGTGAGCTTCCACTCTCAGGATGTCATAGGGATGGATCTAATCCCGTCCCACCAGGATCTGCTTCACCAAAGGGAAACTGAGGCCTGGCCAGGGTCATCAAATACATGGGGGTAAAGCCAGGCTCTGAACCCAAGGGAGTGCTCCCCTACTTTCTTCCTTCCTCCCTTACTCTCTTCCTCTCATCAGCGTTAGCTCTCCTAGATACTCCCCAGCAGGCTCAGGAGATGAGAGACCCTCACACTTGTTAGTGCATGTGCACACTCCCTGACACAGACACACAATCACACAGGCACACCCCCTGGCTCATATGGACTCTCACATGCACACACAAACACACTGGACCAAGGGGCAGCCTGGCCTTGGCTACCCCTGGCTCCATACAGTGCACACGTTCTCTTGCATTCATGCCTAGACGCATATGACGGCCACAGACCCAGGATCACACTCAAAGACAGGCACAGACACTGTCACTCACGGACCAGCACACATATATATCCCACCCACCACAGAACAGCCAGACCACTTTGTGCTGTGTGGGCAGTGGACTGCATGCATGTGCTTGCGTGTGTGTGGACATGTGTGTGGTGTGGATGCACTGCACATGTGTATACACACACGTGCATGTGCTTATGTGGTATGTGCAGGTATGTGGTATGTGTGTGCACTGTATGTGCATGCACAGGGCTCTGGACATAAGCAGAAGCCCTGAAGCTCAGTGGAGAGACCAGGACAAGGGCCCAGTAGGAAGAGGGCCCTGACAAAGATGGGAAGTATGGAGCTTCCCCTGCCCTCTACCTCTCAAGTAGTGGTCCATCCTTTCCTCTCCAAAAAACCCTGAAAAACTGGAGTATGAATGAGTTGGGGTTTTTTTAGGATTACAAATAAAACACTTAAGAGTAGGTGAGAACAGCAAAAGAGCACTAGATGAAGGGTCAGCCAAGTCTCACCTGTCCCTAGCTCCCTCTGACACACACATTCTCTCGTATTCATACCCAGACACATACGATGCCCACAAACCCACAATCACATCCACAGGATACACCAACATTGGCAGAGAAGCACACCCATGTCACCCAGCACAGAACAGCCAGGCCTCCGTGTGGTGCGTGGGCTCAGTCTTCCCATCTGTAAATGGGGTGGGGTGTGGTGGGGATGGAAGAGAGTATCTGCCCCTTCGCCTTGTCTCTTAGCCCAGGACCAGGCACTTATAGGAGATGAGGTGGGGGCTTTTGAAAGGGGGCCTGGCATGAGGGACATAGCCTGGGGAGGTGGTATCATGACCCTAGGAGCTTGTACCTGGCAGAGGCGAGTGGTACAAGAGGGCAGCAGGGGCCGACAGAACTTCTTCATGGAGCTGACAGCAGCTGGGAAGGCTGGGGCCGAGAAGATGGCAGCCACCAGGTTGATCCTAAGGATCCAGGATAGCATTTCTTCCTTGCTCCTGGTGACAGGAGGAGAGGTCAGAGGGCACCAGCTTCTCATAATAGGACTCTCTATCCCCCACCCAGCATGCAGTACCCAGTACCCAGCACTAGCCAGGCACAGAAATGGCATGAATACCTTCACATAAGTGGGCTAAGGAGTGAGGGAGAATGGCAGGGTTGGGGCTGAATGGGCTGGCCACATCTGCGCAGGGAGCTCCCCTTCCGTCCCAGCTCTCAGGTGAGACTTAGATTTTCACGGCCTAGGTCCAGAGCTAATGGCCCTGGAACTAACAGATCCTAGAGTCAGCCTAGGACCCAGGGGATCTTTAGAGGCAGTGGACAACTGGCCATCCCCACTTGGCCTCCTGTCCCTGTCCCGCTACCTCGCCTGGCACACACAGTCCCGTCCTGAGTGCTCACCTACTAGCCTCCCTCCCTTTAAGCTCATCTGACACACGAAACTCCAATCCCAAGTCACAGAAGGATGGGGTGCAGGGGAGTGACAGAAGGCCTTACAGGGAAACCGTAGGGTGAGTCTTTCCCACCCCTCCCCCCCTTAAAGTGAAGGATGATTCATAAAGATTCCATCTGCCCCATATTTAGGAACTTCAGGGTGCATCAGAATTACCTGGAGGGCTTGTTAAAACACAATTGCTGGCCCATCCCCAGAGTTTCTGATTCAGTAGGTCTAAGGTGGGCCCAGAGAAATGGCATTTCTAGCAAGTTTCCAGGAGTCACTAAGGGGACCACATGGAGAACCAGTGCTACAGGGGACCCCAGCTGTTGGTTTGTGCCAAGCAGATACACTTGTTCTTGTGGCTGATGCTCAGGGGAAGCCAAGAGCGCCTCTCCTGAGGACAGTGAGGAGAGGGTATGAAGCAGGCTCCATGCTGCAGGCCCTGAGCCCAGGGTGGGAGTGAGGGGGCTACCACCCCTACTTACGGTGCCTGGAACAGGAAGACCCTCCAGTCGGCCGTCTTCAGCTTGAGCACGTTGGACTTCTTGCTGTAGTCAGAGGCCCTGGTGGCCAGAGCATGGTGCACACGAATGGCATTCTTCAAGTCACCCTCGGACAGAGCTTTGTCAGGCCTGTACTCATCCTGGACAGGCGGGGTGAGGGGTGGGCAAGCCTCTGTCATCGCCAGGCACCGGCTTACTGGCCCACACTTCCTCCACTCCCACCATCCCTCCCTCTTGCTCTCCCCATCTCTGTCCTATGTCTCCGTCCATTCTTCAGCTCCTGCCGGTGTGATGCCATGCCCACCTCAGCAGAAGTCACTCCAGGCACTCCTCCCCACCCCCTGTTTTAGGGACCTGAACAGGCCTCACACTGGGTATCCTCTGAGTCCCTGGCATTTAAAAGACCCCTCCCTGAAATCACCAAAGCTCTGGGTGAGCCTGAGTCAGGCCCCTGATAGGGGAGGACCCAGCATCTGCCTAAGCCCCAGGTCTTACCCAGGACACTCTGGGCACCACAAGGTAGGGGCTGGATGGGGGAACAAGCTGGCCCTTCCTGGGTAAGGACTCGGAGGCAGTCTCTCACCTTCTGCAGGTACAGGATGGTCCCTTTGAGCACCGCGTAGAATTTTTTCCAGCCACGCCTCCCACGGGGTGCTGGGGAGGGGGGCATGGGTAGTGTGGCAGCAACTAGCACCCTAATATCCCCTCCCCTAGTTCCCCCACGTGTCTACTGCGTGTGCACCCCTGGAGGAGTGGCCAAGGCGGGCAGACCCCCTCTGGAATAGCATCCCTCCCCATACCCCTTCCCCCGCCTGACACCCACTCCTCTTGCCATCCATGTCGGCGTGAGTCTTCCGGGTCAGCACACCATGCTTATAGGTAGTGGCACTCAGAGCCTGCGGGACATCCAGGAAGGGGTTGCCACCATCCACGATCCGTGTCACCTTCTTTGTGCCTGTCCCAAACTTGTCATCCACCAGCTCAGACAGTGATTTCCTCAGTTCGTCCTCATCACTAGGAAAGTACTAGGTCTGAGCACCACCTCCAAAAAGGCCTCAGACCTACATCAACATGCCCTTTCCCCACCCACCACCCCTCTTGGAGACAGTCAGAGGTGAAGAGAAGAGATGAGGAGGTTCCAATTCCAGATCACAGATCCAGATCTCTGACCCCTCCCCTCAGTCTTCAATTCTGACCCCTGACCTCTGATCTTTGATTTTTGGCCTCCAACCTCCAATCCTCACCCTTGATCACAAAGTTGGAGACGTTACTATCTCCAGGCCTCCTTCCTGGTCTTCCTTCTCCTCTCTCCAAACCTGAAAGCCCAGCCCCAGGGAGCAGTAACCAATGGCCAGACTGAAGCTACTACCCGAGGCCCATGGACATGCTGGGGGAGGGCAGCCAGTAGATGAGGCCACTAAAGTCTAGGCTCCCCATTGGAGCCCTGCTAGAAGAATGCCATCTCTTCCCCATGCAGCTGGGGTTCCTAAAATTCCCTGCTTGGGACCTCTACAAGGACCCAAAGATCCAAGCTGCCCTGGAGAGCACAGCAGGGCAGGGTGGCCACTTTCCCCAGGAGCCTCTCAGTCTCCTCAACCAGCAGGGTCACCAAACCTCTTTCCAGATAGCTGGGCACCTCCAGGTCTCACTGCCATTGCAGGGGAAGAAGTTATGGAGAAGTCACCCCTCCCTACTGCCAAGAAAAGTTGTCACCTAAATATGGTCATATTCTTGGGTTAAAGGGGGACCCATGCCTCCTGCCTACCTACCTCCCAAAGGGGAAGGAGTTATCATTGAGAATAGTGGCAATATCCCTAGCACAGAAAACCAGTTGTAGACATCATGGAACTAAAGTCACAATTCAATCTATTCCACAGCAGTGTAAACACTGCACACTTTTTATCAAGATAGAAAGCGAGCCCAAAGGGGAACTCAACATCAGATGCTGGCCAGTTGGACAGTGGTCACCAGGGCCCTGGGTTGGGAGAGATCAGCACCATGGAGAGGGGCAGGAGTGACTTCCCTACAACCCCAGCCACCGTCCCTTCCCTCTCCCAGTGATTCAGTCTCCCCATACCTGTGCCCATAGGCACTACTCACATGGCCCATTCCAGCTTTTCATTCTTGATGGAGTTGTAAAGGGTCTGGGAGAAGGGTAAAGAGGGAGAAGAGGTCAGATGAAGAATCAAAGAAATCTCCATCTACTTCTAGCAATGCGGATTCAGTGAGAGAGCACCTTTTCAGCCAGTAGGGCAAAGTGGGTGTTTCATTCATAGATGTTTGTTGGATGGGTGAATGAATGGGGGATGTGTGGGTGGATGATTGGGTAGATGACTAGGTGGATAGATTTGAATATGAGTGGGTTGGTGGGTAGATTGAATTGAATATGAATAGGTGGGGAAATGAGTAGGTGGGTGGATAGATGAATGGATGTGGAATGTGTACAGGTGAGTGTTTAGGGGTATAGGGAGTCTATGTGTGGGTGATGGGTGAATGGGTAGGTGTATGGGCACGTGAATGATTGAGTTGGTGGGTGGGTAGATGGGAGGATGGGTAGATGGGTAGAAGATCAGGAGAAGCGGATAGGTGGGTGGTGGGACTGGATTATTTGATCTCACTTACAAATATATACTTACAAGTGCTTCTTGACGGGGAAAAGATAATTATGATAAGAAGAGTGATGGAGACAATGTTCTATTTTTTAACCTCTAGATTCACTATCCAACTTCCCACCTGGTATCATCAGGTCCTTCGAACACACTATCTAAAACTGAACTTATCATCTACCCCAAAAGACCTGCTCCTCTTGCTCCAAGGCCAAGAACTGACCAGCCTTGAAGGACCAGAGTTCCACCCTGGGCTTTAGTCTCAAAAAAAAAAGTATGTTCCCTTAATGCCTGTGATGTTGGAGGAATGAGTGGACTTTTCCCTGTGGTGATGAGTATGGTGGTGGTGGTGGTGGTGATAGCGGTGGCAGTTGTGGCAGTGTTGATGATTACCATGACAGCAATGATGATAATGGAGTGCTGAAAACAAATCTCACAAAGCCTACCCTTCTCCCTAACTCAAGGACCACACTATAGTCAAATGTTGAGCTGGATGGTCTCTAACTCCGTCCCAAAGTCGTGGTGGCCCTGACTCCAGTATGAAAAATATGAATATCAGGACTTAGTGGGGCAGAGACATCTCTCCTCTTCACCCACCCCTGGCACAGCTGGGCACATTGGGACCCTTAGCAGGTTATACCTTCAGCAGGTCTTTGGCAAAGTCTTGGCCATCATTCAACTGGTCCAAGTTGGCAATGAATTGCTGGCAGGACATCTTCTTGCCAATGTTCTGTAATGGAGAAATGGTTCTGCCTGAGAGTAGGGACGGAGGCTGGTGTGGTCCCCACACCCTGCCCTGCCCAGCCAGAAGGGATGAGGCAGCATCAAGGGCAGTAATGAAAAAAAACTGCCTGGATTTCCCTTTGCCTCCAAGAGTTTAAAAAACTCTTTTTCACATTCAAGATTCTATTTGATCCTCAAGCATCATGAGAGGTTGGGGTTCTCCTCAAACCCAGATGAGGGAGTCAGGTTGGATGAAGTATTGTAATAGTTGACATTTGCCAGGTGCCTGCTATGTTCCAGATTTTGTACTGGACATGCATTATCATGTTTCCTTCTCACAACAAGGAGAAGGTGAGGTGGGTGTTACCATCATCCCCATTTGACAGGTAAGGAAACTGAGGTGCAGGAAGGTAAAGTGATGTGCCCATGATCACACAGCAAGGAAGTGGTAGGGCTGAGTGTGTCTGACACCAAAGCCCATGCTCTCACCCGCTACTCCATGGTTAACTCTCCCAAGGTCACACAGCACCAGGACTTGAACCCAGGCCTCTTGGCTCCTGAGCAGAAGCTCTGTGTATTCCGTCACAACTGTCTCACCCTCTCACCTGTACAGAGGGGCAGCAAGACCTCCAAGAGGTAGGTGAAGTGAGGGAGAGTTTGGTCTTATGAGAATCAAAAATTAATTTCCACCCACACACATGGGTACCCCATGCTGAGCTGGGCTGGGACCAAGGAAACCCAAGCAGATGGTTTTACTCCAGGAGACCCAAAAAGCTGGGAATGCGTGTACCCCCAAGTTCTGCCTTCTTTTTTTAACCACTGAGTTAGCAAAGGGGCTCCAGCCCTCCAAACCCAACACCTGATGTGCATACCTTCAGACTGTCCTTGCAGTATCCACATTTGAGGAAACACTGGATAGCACTTCATCTTTGTGAAGACGAAGACCCTTGAACACCAGATACTTACTGGTGTGGGACTCGTGAATTTAGGTTTGCTATAAGGCTGTGTTTCCCACGATTTACCTACAGATGGGAATAGGTATTCCCCCTAAAAAGGATTTCATAATCAAATAAGTTTATTTACACGCTTCAGAATCTTTAACATGATTACATGTGTTGAGAGTCTCCAAGGAGAGGATTCCATGTACAGATTCCCAAATTTATTGACCTTGGCACTATTTTAGCGAAGAGAATCTATTAACGTCACATGGCACATTCACACACCACAGAAAATAATTCAGAAAACAATGATATAAGAGTTTATAAGTCGCTGACAAGCAAGAATTTTCCACACCTTTTCCAAAAGGTTAAGGAGAAAAGATCCTTTGTGTGTCTTGATATAGTGTGTTTCATATGTTTATGTGTATATTTTACATGTACATATATGTATGTATGTATACATGTATATACAGCCACTTACATGTGCATTCATAATAGAGGAGTATGAGGGCAATGTTGACAATTTTGTCTGAGTTCCACACACACTGAATGTTCCCCAGCCATCAGTCAGGAGTGCAAAATCAAAAAATAACCAGGCAAGGTTTCCAATCCTAGCAACAGAAGACTATCTTGTTGCAGATGAACCTCCCCAGCAGAAACAACTGCTGGTCAAAATATTAATAAGACATCTGTGTGGAGGCATTAGAGAAATATACAAGCAGTGAGGACTTCATGAGTAAAGATTCTGCAGAGAATGGACGTATGGAGAGGTGAGCCCAACAAGGAGCAGCTTTTCTCCTTGAAGCATCTGTCAATTCACAAGTAGTGGCCAAAAGCCTGAGCACTGAGTGGTCTTATAGGACTGGAGAACAAAAATTGGAGCTCAGGACCCACCAAGGACAAGGGGCCCTTGGAAACACCCCAGTCATATTTCAACAAAGAAGTTGAAATTAAGAAAAGAAATAGTGGGGCTAGCCCTAGGGTCTAGTGGTTAAGTTTGGCACAGTCCGCTTCAGCGGCTCAGGTTCGGTTCCCAGGTGCGGACCTACACCACTTGTTGGTAGCCATGCTGTGGCAGCGTCCCACATACAAAATAGAGGAAGACTGGCACAGACGTTAGCTCAGGGACAATCTTCCTCAGCAAAAACAGAAAGATTGGCAACAAATGTTAGCTCAGGGTAAATCTTTCTCAGGGGAAAAAAAAGAAAGGGAATACTAAAGAGAGTTCTTCAGAAAGAAGGAAAATCATCCCAGAGGGAAGCATGGAGAAGCAGAAAGGAATGAAGAGCAACAAAAAGGGTGGCTAAATTTAAATGAATATTGATTGTGTAAAGCAATAATAAAGTTTTCTGAGGAATAAAATAGAGAGATATAATAGTTAAAAACATGATAACAGTAGTATATAAGTTTAGAGCACAATAAATGGAGTTAAAATGTTTCAAGGTAATTTCATTGTCCAGGAAGCAGTAAAAGCACTTTGATAAGTCAAGGAGGCATATTGCAAACCACAAAAAGAATTCTAAAAGAATGCACAACTAACAAGCTAATGAAATCCCAAAAAATACTTAAATAATCCACAAGCAGGCGAGAAAGGAGGACAAAAAAGGACAATAGAGGGGCTGGCCCCGTGGCAGAGTGGTTAAGTTCGCGCGCTCCGCTGCAGGCGGCCCAGTGTTTCATCGGTTCGAATCCTGGGTGCGGACATGGCACTGCTCGTCAGACCACGCTGAGGCAGTGTCCCACATGCCACAACTAGAGGAACCCACAACGAAGAATACACAACTATGTACCGGGGGGCTTTGGGGAGAAAAAGGAAAAAATAAAATCTTTAAAAAAAAAAAAAAAAAAGGACAATAGAACATGTGAGTCAAAGAGAAAACAAGCAGGCTGGTGCTGTGGCTGAGTCCATGTGCTCCACTTTGGCGGCCCAGGATTCCCTAGTTCCGGTCCCAGGCGCAGCCCCACTCACTGCTCATCAAGTCATGCTGTGGTGGCATCCCACATAGAAGAACTATAATGACCTACAACTAAGATATGCAATTATGTACTGGGACTTCAGGGAGAAAAAAAAAGAGAGAAAGATTGGCAACAGATGTTAGCTTAGGACCAACCTTCCTCACCAAAAAAAAAAAAAATTTCGATCATGTGATCAAGGAATACAAAGAACCAACTCCAAAATCAAAAAAAAAAAAAGAGAGAGAGAGAAAGAAAAGTAACCTGGTATGTCTAAACTCAAATATATTAGTAATTCATTAAATCGTCACATTAAAAGGCAAAGATTATGAGACTTGATTTTTTTCTTCAAGTATATGATACAAGAGATAAAAAGTCTGACAAAATAGACTTGAAGGCCAGAAGCACTACTAGAGATAAAGAGAGACATTTAATAATGATAAAAGGGTCAATCTACCAAAAGATATAAGCATCCTAAATTCGTATGCACCTAATAACATAGTCTCAAAAGATAAAAGACAAAAATTGATAGAACCAAAAGGAGAAAGACATATTTACAACTTGGTTAGGTATTTTAACACTGCTCTCTCAGTAACAGGAAGAACAAGAATACTAAACAATTAATTAGTTAACAACAATTAACTAATGCCAACAGATTAGATGACCTAGAGGAAATGGACAAATTCCTAGAAACACACAAACTACCAAAACTGGCTCAAGAAGAAATAGGAAATCTGAATAGACCTATAACAAGGAAAGAGATTGAATTAATAATCAAACACCTCACAACAAAGCAAAGCCCAGGACCAGGTGGCTTCACTAGTGAAATTTACCAAACATTTAAAGAAAAATTAACACCAATACTTCTCAAACTCTTCCAGAAAAAATGAAGCAGAGGGAATACTTCCTAACTCATTCTAGAAGCCCAGCATTTCCCTGATACCAAAACTTGACAAAGACATCACAAGAAAACTACAGAACAATAGCCTTTATGAATATAAATGCAAAAATCCTAAACAAAATACAAGCAGACAGAATCCAGCAGCATATTAAAGGGTTATAAACCATGACCAAGTGGAATATAGCCCAGTAATGCAAGGGTGGTTCAACATACAAAAATCTATAAATCAATACATCATATTAACAGAATGAAGGGGGGGAACCACATGATCATCTCAACTGCAGAAAAAGCGTTTGACAAAATCCAACACCTTTTCATAGTAAAAACACTCAACAAACTAGGAATAGAAGGGAACTTCCTCAACATGATAAGGGGCTTTTATGAAAAACCCACAACTATCCTCCTACTCAATGGTGAAAGACAGAAAGCTTTTCCCCTAAGATTAGGAACAAGGCAAGGATAGCCACTTTCCAATTTCTATTCAACATTGTACTGGAAGTTCTAGCCAGAGCAATTAGGCAAGAAAAATAATTAAAAGCCATCCAAATTAGAAAGGAAGATGCAAATCTATCTCTATTCCCAGATGACATGATCTTATATAGAGAAAATCCTAAAGAAACTACAAAACAACTATTAGAGCTAATAAACAAATTCAACAAAGTTGAAGAATACAAGATCAACATACAACATACAAAAATCAATTGTATTTCTATGTGTTAGTAATGAACAATCATAAAATGAATTTAAGAAAACAATTCCAATTGCAATAGCATCAAAAAGATTAAAATACTTAGGAATAAATTTAACCAAATAAGTGAAAGACTTGTATACTGAAAACTATAAAAGATTCCTGAAAGAAATTAAATACCTAAATAAATAGAAAGACATCCCTGGAGGCCAACCCCACGGCCGAGTGGTTAAGTTTGCGTGCTCTGCTTCATCGGCCCAGGGTTTCGCAGGTTCAGATCCTGGGCGCGGACATGGCACCGCTCATCAAGTCATGCTGAGGCAGCATCCCACATGCCACAACTAGAAGGATCCACAACTAAAAAATATGCAACTGTGTACCAGGGGCTTTGGGGAGAAGAAGGAAAAATAAAATCTTTAAGGGGCCGGCCCCGTGGCAGAGTGGTTGAGTTGGCGCACTCTGCTGCAGCAGCCCAGGGTTTCACAGGTTTGGTTCCTGGGCACAGAGATGGCACCACTTGTCAGGCCA